TTAAGTGGAGTTGCACCCAAAAGTGGAAGCTCTGCTTATCTGCCTACTGCCCCCCCCTCTCCGCTGCCACATTTGGCACCTTTTGGGGGGGGGAGTGGTTACCTGGTTTTGACCAGCCCCCTCTCCTTCCAACCACATCCCTCTGGGACATTTCACAGGTCTCAGAGGACTGAGGCCCTTTCACAAAACTCAGCGCGATTCGCGAGTCTCAAGGCTGCACTGTCGGTTTCCCATAGTCAAGATAGCGGCATCAGTACCCAACAGCTGAAAGAAAAATCGGCTTGGGGTGTAGACACCGCTGGATCCCTAGAGAGGTAAGTGCCCTAATATTAAAAGTCAGCAGCTATAGCAATTGTAGCTGCTGCTTTTACATTTTTTGGGGTCCGGAACTCCTCCGTAGCCTCCCTAGAGGTCTGATTATGTCAGTATTTCTTGGCTCAAAGCGGTACATTTTTTTGCATGGAAATATGTATTTTTTTTATTGTAGGCCTGTAAGTTTTAGGAATAACTCACTGAAATCTGTCCGAACAAGAGTCTAGTAAACATCCCGGGTATGATAAAATTTGAAACGTGAAATCATAAATTAAAATTTAATAATCATAAAAAAATAATAATATAATAATAAATGTAATTCAATAATATAATCAAACCAAAAACACTGAAATTTGAAATATAGCGCCAAGTTCGCACATTGCTCAGCTCAGTCGCAGAATCGTTTTCAGTGTCTGATGACGAATTTCCCCACGACTCATTATCACTCAATTCTGCAAGTGGTTCTGATTTACTATCGCTGTTCTCTAGCCGGTCTAAAACCAATTTTGACCTAAAGGGACGCTTTTTGGACGCCATGGACGTTTCTCAGTTTCCCGGCAGAAAGAACAGTAAAAATGCAGGCAGGGCACAGGACAAAGCACTCGGGACAAAATGTATGTGAAATGGTTTGATACAGTAATGTTTTACTATGTGATTTTAGTGTATTTAGTGAATGTCACTTTTTCACATTTTTACATTTCCTGTCGTTCCGTCCCCGTACGTCGTGACGTCGCAGGGGACGGAACCCAGAAGTGAAATGCCGGCATCAGCCAGAGGGGACACTGCAGGGGGACATCGCGCGGGAGCGCAGGACAAGGTAAGAGAAGAACAGATCCCGGAGCAATGCTGCAGTGTATTCCTGAGTGTAGCTCGGGGTTACCACTTTTGGTACTGAAACTTTACCCCGAGCTACACTCGGGAATACCGCCAGGGGGGTTAAATAGCATTTTCAGTTTGTGGTTTTCCAATACAGTTGGGATCCGCTTTAACTATTCCAAGTGAATGGGCCTTAAAGCAGTTGCATTAGGGTCCTTTCACACGAGCATTCCGGTTTTTTTTTCATCAGTACAGTCATGTTTTTTCCAAGAAAAAACGGATCAGTTCACATCCGTTTTTTATCCGTTTACATCTGTTTTTCATCTATTTTTCATCAGTTTACATTAACTTATAACATTCTTTACCGATGCATAAACGGACCATTAGGGCTCTTTTACATGGATGTTCCAATCAGGTCCGTCTGCCTGTTTTTCAGGCGAACCCGATCAAAACCTCCATTCTCCTCTACGGAGCGGCGGGTGTAAACTTACATGTGTCCATTTACACTCGCCGACATCCGATCCTCCAAAAAAGGGACGAATGGGGATCCAATTCCCCTTCCGTCCGTCGGATCGGGTCAGATGAAAATGGACAGGCGGTCCATTTTCATCCGACCGTCTATTGAGGACAGCGAGCAGCTCTGTGTCTGCTCTGCAACAGCGGAGCAGACACAGAGCTCCTCTGCTGAGCAAGCGGATCTTCTAAATGGGTCCGCTCTGTGTGAAAGGAGCCTATGTTATTTACATCCGTTTTCCGTCTGTTTACATTCGTTTTTCGTCCGTTCCATTTTTTTTTTAAGGAAGAACAATAGGGTTTTCTTCCATTCAAAAAATGGATGTTAACGGAAGCGGACATTAATGGATGTAAACAGATGATAATCTGTTTACATCTGCTAGTCCATAGAAATACATGGACGTCCGTTTTTCATCCGTAAACGAACAGATGAAAAACAGACATTCAGAACGCCCGTGTGAAAGGAGCCTTACTAATAATGTTAGTAAAACACTAAATGGGTATCACTTTGACAATACCTTTTACAATCTCTTTACACTGTGGATTGCTGGTATCAGGGTGGATTTGATTTAAATCAAACTGATTTAAATCACAATTTAAATCACTAGTCAGTAAGGCTTGATTTAAATCCTAGTTTTCTACATAAAGACTAATTCTTGCTGGTATAACTTTAATATGCAAGTAGATGAAGATTTTTAGAATAACAACTTTTCATATTAGTTTTTTTATCCCCAGTTTAATAGGTTAATCATTCATATTTGGACAACTTTTCTGTTGTACTTAGGAAGGAGAAAAATAATCATTACCTTAATAATAACACTTTAAATAGATTTATTCAACTGAAACAATAACATTCCAGCATATGTGATTTGCTTAAACATCCATGTTTGTTAACTAATTTGGCTAAACAAAATATATATATTTTAAGAAACTTAGACTGTCAGCCCCTTCCTCCTCACACTTAGTTTCACTTTCTTCTTGTGCAGATCTATTCCACTCCAAACAATCAGAAAAATATTGTTTCTATTCTATTCACTGAACTTCTTGAACCTTAGCACTGAAGGGGTTGATTCTGTATTCATAGGTTTGTAGAAGTTAGGATGAAGGTCTTTTTCTTAACTCTGTTCATGTTATAACATTTTTGCTGTGAAGAAGAGGCCTGTGATCTCCGCTGAGTCAAATTCAGTTTTGAGAACTGCAAAAGTAAACCAATCATCTGTGATAATATCTTGTAGGCAGAGAAACTGCCCAATAATCTTACAAAAACCTCTGGAAGAGCATGACATTGTGAATGGATTCATGGAATTTATTTACCAAAAAAATTAAAGATATACAGCCTTATTCTACATAATAAAAAAACTAATCTTTATTTCATGATGGAATAACCTTTGGATGGTAATATATTTTCCTCAAAAAGCATTTTATTAAAAAAAATCCGATTTAAATTAAAAAAATCCGATCTTTTTGATTTTTTTAAAAAAAATCATTGATTTTTATCCACCCTGGCTGGTATCATGAGCTCGGGGTCAACCATGAGTTCAATATAAATCCAAGCTGTCCACAATTCACCAAACTGAAGTGGCTAGATTTAGGAAGTTTGCCCACCTACCCAGTAGTTGTAGCTGCCGCAATTGGTGGTCATTAATTTCCCTACAATATTACTACCGTCACTAAATGACAGCTTCCAGCCATCCACAATACACGGGGAACCTGTCCGATATCACTGACTAAATTTGGCCATATTTGGTTACAGACATCAGTCAGGTTCCCCTGCACTGCTGGTTATATTTCAACAGTTGGGGAACTGTCAATTGTGGGGTGAATCTGGCAAGAGAGGATTGTCCCTCATGGCAGCATTCAGCTACCCGTGACCGTTTCTTTACCAAAATTTTGCTAATTAGCCTTAAAAAAAAAGGTCAGAAAAAAAATAACAAGATTTTGGCTTCCATAGACTGCACTAGGGTTTCGGTATTATGTTCGGGGTTTGAGAATTTTTTGGGCAAAGGTCCAGCCAACTCAAACCTTGCTTGGCTGGCTCGTCACTAGTTGCAGGTTGCCCTGATCCATCCGTTTGTTCTTGCGATCAAAATATGGTTAATGTGTTGTAGTCCTAAAATTGTATGTTTGCTGCTGTTTATAGAAGCCTACAGTAGGTGATCATAAAACAAATCCAGTGTAAAGGACTTGCCTGGTCAGGATGAGCTCCTCCCCGTGCATCCAGAAGATGTTTGGAGTTGGGTATCCAGAAACAGCACATTCAAGGACTGCGTCCTGTCCTTCCACAACAGCGACATTGGAGGGCCTTTGCAGAAAGATTTGCTGTCGATGTAAACCGGATTCTGCAAACAAGAAAAGCTGGTTACTTCTTCTGAAAAAAAGGAAAAGCCTGGGGTGTGCATTATCATTTTCAAACTGTGAAAAACATAATTTGTGTTCCCAATCAGCGTAATTAGCTCCGTATGATGGGGATGTTTGGGAGGATTTTTCAACAGCTGAAAAGATTTGTGTGTTCTCTACTGGCGTGTAGTGATATATCTGTGACAGTATCTGCTCGCTGTTCGCTTATTTGTACAACCCGAAATTAGGCTTTTAATTCAGTAATCCAACAGATCTATTGAGTTTGTGTCGTGCACTCCCATATGGAAGAAAATATATTTGAAAAATATATTTTAAAAAATATTCTTCCGAAATATATTGACATATATTTGAAATGCTACAATTTTGGCCATATTCAATAGATTTCAAAATATATTTCAATAAATATTTATATACATATATACTGCATGCTGAAATTAGTTTTTATTACAAAATATATGAAAAATATTTTTAAAAATACATTTGAAATATTCTGTATGTCTTTAAAAATACAGTAATAGGAATATATTTAAAAAAAAAGTGTTACTAAGCCCAGTCACTATATCTGGTCTCCCCGGGTCCTGCATTCACTATATCTGGTCTCCCCGGGTCCTGCATTCACTATATCTGGTCTCCCCGGACCCTGCATTCACTATATCTGGTCTCCCAGGGACCGTACATTCACTATATCTGGTCTCCCTGGACCTGCATTCACTATATCTGGTCTCCCAGGACCCTGCATTCACTATATCTGGTCTCCCCGGACCCTGCATTCACTATATCTGGTCTCCCCAGACCCTGCATTCACTATATCTGGTCTCCCCAGGTCCTGCATTCACTATATCTGGTCTCCCCCCCGGACCCTGCATTCACTATATCTGGTCTCCCCAGGACCCTGCATTCACTATATTTGTTCTCCCCGGACCCTGCATTCACTATATCTGGTCTCCCAGGACCCTGCATTCACTATATCTGGTCTCCCCGGACCCTGCATTCACTATATCTGGTCTCCCCGGGTCCTGCATTCACTATATCTGGTCTCCCCGGACCCTGCATTCACTATATCTGGTCTCCCAGGACCCTGCATTCACTATATCTGGTCTCCCAGGACCCTGCATTCACTATATCTAGTCTCCCCGGACCCTGCATTCACTATATCTGGTCTCCCAGGACCCTGCATTCACTATATCTAGTCTCCCCGGACCCTGCATTCACTATATCGCTCTCCCTGGACCCTGCATTCACTATATCTGGTCTCCCCAGACCCTGCATTCACTATATATGGTCTCCCCAGGTCCTGCATTCACTATATCTGGTCTCCCCGGACCCTGCATTCACTATATCTGGTCTCCCCGGACCCTGCATTCACTATATCTGGTCTCCCCGGACCCTGCATTCACTATATCTGGTCTCCCCGGACCCTGCATTCACTATATTTTTTCTCCCAGGACCCTGCATTCACTATATCTGGTCTCCCAGGACCCTGCATTCACTATATCTGGTCTCCCCAGGACCCTGCATTTCACTATATCTGGTCTCCCACAGTACACAGAACATGGAAATGCAATTATTATTTATTATTATTTCTTTCTGTTCTAGGAGCATGCAAAACCCCTGATTGCCCTGTGCTGATTACATGCACTCTCCCCCCAAAAAAAACCTCTCTATCAATACACACTAAACTGAGCATGTGCAGAAGGGCTCAGTCTGTCTTATCAGGAGATAAGATGTGGACATTTGAACAAGAGGAGGGGCAGAGAAGAAAGGATCAAATGGCCTTTTTACACAATGCAGAGGATTAACCCCTTAGGTTCCACAGTGAGTATAACAAGCACGCTTTACTACATATACAGACTGATTTTACTGCTGTGGGTTTAGTAATACTTTAAGTGACACATACACACCATACAATCCTGACAGCTAGTGCCTGACAGTCAATAGATCATATAGGATAGATAGATAGATAGATAGATAGATAGATAGATAGATAGTTTAATAAAAAAGAGGTAGATAGATAGATAGATAGATAGATAGATAGATAGATAGATAGATAGATAGATAATTTAATAAAAGATAGATAGATACGATAGATAGATAGATAGATAGATACTCCCTTGCCTGCCTGTCTGGTTGGGTGAGAACTGTTGGGTCAGCCATTGTCATAAGACAGGCATTGCAGACCTGACCCTCCTGGTCCCCATGTATATAGGTCCCTGTGGCTCGTACACTTCTGTGGTCTGTGGTGCCCACCCTGGTGTAGTACAGAACAGTGCTTCTTTTTGCAGCGCTCTCTCCAGCTCCGGGATTAATGCACAGTGTTTAGCTCTATGAATGCTTTCTCCGCTATCCGAGGCCACATCACATAATTGCCCAGTGATCCAAGCACAATTTTTAAATTGCAAACCCAGAGTTTAAACTTTGGGTCAACAAAACAGCCCGATCCACAAAGAAAAATAATGGTGTGTAATAGGCGGCATCCAGAAAATAATGGTAAGAGGTTTATCTGAAATATAAGGGAGCACACTGCGGATAAGCCGGGGACGGGAGGATGGGACACAGTGTTTCATTTGCTCTGCCACACTATGATGGCCTCTGTTCATTACGGGATTAGGCTGAATAGCTGCTATGTAAAGCAGCGCAGTCAAAGTTGAGTGATAATATAAATATGTTTTTTACTGCGTGCTTACATGCGGCAGTCCTTCCATGGCTTCATTATACTAGAGGGATCTAGGGCTCCTGGGAGGGCCTCACATACCAATACTAGTGATGTGCCAAACAACCCCCTGTTTGGTTCACGGTCAAACATTCAAACCTAACGAAGGTTTGACCGCGAACTTCGAACTGGGACAATTTACTAAGCGGTAAGATACCGCACAACTACTAAAATACCGCATGAATCATATTAAGTCATGCAATATTTTAGTAGTGAAAACATTCTTTAATGCTTCAGCTGTTTGCAGGGTTTGCCGCTTATGGCTGAATATAAAAAGAATTGCTGGCGATTAAATTTTTTTTTTTTAAACTGTGTGAGGTCCCCCCCTTTTGAGGGGAACCGCCAAAATTTAAAAAAAACAAGGCGTGGGGGTCCCCCCAAAATCCATACCAGACCCTTATCTGAGCATGCAGCCTGGCAGGGCAGGGAAGGGGAGGGGACAAGCAAGTGCCCCCCCCCCTCTTGAACTATACTAGGCCACATGCCCTCAACATGGGGGGGGTGCTTTGGGGCAGGGGGAAAGCACCTTGTCCCCATGTTGATGGGGACAAGGGCCTCTTTCCCACAACTGTGGCCGTTGGTTGTGTGGGTATGTGGGCGGGGATCTTATCGGAATCTGGAAGCCACCTTTACCAAGGGGGTCCCCAGATCCTGCCCACCGCCCCAAGTGAATGAGTATGGGGTACATGGCACCGCTACTCGTTCACAAAAAAAAAAGTGTAGTGTAAAAAATGACAGCTGCGCTGGCCTGACAGTTCTTAAATATCTAAGGGGCGGGGCCACCTGGGGACATCTTGTGACATCATCATGCGCTGTGAGTTGCCAAAGAATTGCACCTGACCTGTGGTCAGGTGCAATGCTTTGGCCAATCACAATGCACTGTCAGAGCACAGTTCATTGTGAGGCATGGTGGGCGAACAGCCCGCTGAACGCCCTTACTGTTCTTGTGTTTGTCAAACGTATGTTCGAGTTACATTCGAACATCAAGCCCAACTGTAACCAATACCAACAATGTGATTGGTTCATTCTTTACATTGTAACAGGTGTTTGAAAATTCCCAGAATCCCATTATCTTGTGCCATAGCTTGACGGTCTCTCAGCAGAGTTCCGACACTTCCCTTAAGGAGTAAAAGTCCATGCTGCTGATTGGAGAGCACTGGCTATGACTCAGCAGGGGGTATGTTGGACCTCTGCAGAGAGATCACTGCTTACCCACAGAGAGCAATGGTCTTTCTCTGCAGCTGCTGGCAGAGGATGGGTTTTTCTACTCAGGTTGTGGCTGCTTTAAAAAGAAAATGAACTGTAAGACATTGGACGCCTTTTGATTAAATGCATCTGGAATGTATTTAGCTGATTTAAATTGAAGGTTCATTTGTACTTTAAGGAATTTTTTTATAGTAGTGTTAGCCTGCTGAAGAGTGATCCCTGATGAATTGCTTTTCAGAAAGCATTTGACAGGCTGTGAGGAGGTGTAATGCCACCTCCTCATAGCCTATTTTAACACCTAGAAGCCTTGACCAGTGCACCACAAATGCATGCATTGTGGTTGTGGTGCAGCTGCATTCACTTGAATAGGTTGTGTTTGGTGGGTGATACACAGGGTTTTATTCTTGATACAAAGCAAGACATCAGGACCATGGCATGTGTACACCCCCAATTGCCTCTGTAGCTTAAGGGGAAGCAGTTTGGGGGGGGGGGAAGTGCATCTTTTACTGCCCCCCTAACCACAAATGTAAATGTGCTGTAAGGACATGAAGGATAGAGTATATTTCAAAAGGTGCCTACGCACTTATTCCATTGTAGAGGCTTTCCACTTTCAGCAAGAGAAACTCTTCCACTGCAGTTTTGATGCCATAAGAGGTCACCATGTCTATTCCTATTACTATTATTGCACGGCTGAATGCAACACATAGCAATGACCTGACTGTATAAACCAAACCATTTCAATGGCATGACCAGTCTACTCATAATAGTTGCTTCTTTTCAAACAGAACAGAAACACCTAACAAATTTATTGCTTTCTTCCACCAATAAAAGAGAAATTAGGAAAGGTTCTGCGATGTAGAAATAAAAACGTGCGGACATGTTCTAGTGACGGTTTTATGGAAGTGCTGTGTTCTCAGTTTAGAGGGCCTGCAGAAAATGGCGTGATGGAAGATGTACGGAGCACTGTATTTACTGTAAGTGGTGTCAGCCAGGTCAAGTGTGTCAGCAGTAATTGGTAGAGAAGAAAACTGGGTAAAACTACTTTTATAAGGTGTGCTGCGCCTGCGAGGGGAATGACAATTTCACCAAAGAGAGATAACGGCTCGGAGGATTAACAGGCATCAAATGTGAACGTAGATGAGGTTCCGATGATGTGATGATGTTTAAATGGTAGGGAATCACCGCTGCAGGGTAACACCTGCAGATGGTGCTGCTCTGGTGAAATGTTATCAGTGGATTCAATTCTGTTTAAGTGAGACAATGGGCATCCTAGAATGTGGTTGCTGATGGGACAGGGCTGCAACCATGGTTATTCCAAAAGGACCAATTAGGTGCAGGTAGTGGTCGGTGCATGGCTGAAGAAAGCAATAGCCGGCCCTACACCAAAGCTTCACAATAACCTTCTCTGTACTTCTCACACCGACATTTACCCTTACCTCATCTGTAACCTTAACACTAACCCTCCCCCCCCCCCACTGGTGTTAACTGTAACCCTTACATTAACCCTTCCACTGATATTTCCTATAACCCTAACACTGTTATTCCTTGTAAACCTAACACTAACCCTCAAACTTTTACCCTACCTCCAACCTTAATAGTAACCCTCAGACCTTTACCCTACCTCTAACCTCAATACTAACCCTCAAGCTTTTACCCTACCTCCAACCCTAATTTTAACCCTCAAACCTTTACCCTACCTCCAACCCTAATACTAACCCTCAACCTTTACCCTACCTCCAACCCTAATACTAACCCTCAAACTTTACCTTACCTCCAACCCTAATACTAACCTTCAACCTTTTACCCTACCTCCAACCCTAATACTAACCCTCAAACCTTTACCCTACCTCTAACCCTAGTACTAACCATCAAAACCTTTACCCTACCTTTACCCTACCTCCAACCCTAATACTAAACCCTCAACCGTTTACCCTACCTCTAACCCTAATAGTAACCCTCAACCTTTTACCCTACCTCCAACCCTAACACTAACCCTCAAACCTTTACCCTACCTCTATCCCTAATACTAACCCTCAAACGTTTACCCTACCTCCAACCCTAATACTAACCCCCAACCTTTACCCTACCTCCAACCCTAATACTAACCCCCAACCTTTACCCTACCTCCAACCCTAATAGTAACCCTCAAATCTTTACCCTACCTCCAACCCTAATACTAACCCTCAACCTTTACCCTACCTCTAACCCTAATACTAACCCTCAAACCTATACCCTACCTCCAAACCTAATAGTAACCCTCAAACCTTTACCCTACCTCTAACCCTAAATACTAACCCTCAAACCTTTACCCTTCCTCTAACCCTAATACTAACCCTCAAACCTTTACCCTTCCTCTAACCCTAATACTAACCCTCAAACCTTTACCCTTCCTCTAACCCTAATACTAACCCTCAAACCTTTACCCTACCTCTAACGCTAATACTAACCCTCAAACCTTTACCCTACCTCTAACGCTAATACTAACCCTCAAACCTTTACCCTACCTCCAACCCTCAAACCTTTACCCTTACCCTCAAATACTAACCCT